AGAATAAGTGACAGAATGAGAGTTCCAGCTATAGTTCTGACAGAAAGCCAACACAAGAGCCTGTTAGAACAAAAAAATAAAAAAATAAAAATGCCTTTGAAACCACCAGAATGTTTCCTGTATAAAACATTAATCACTTCTGCTGGAGGATAGCTCATGGTACACATTAGGAAATTTCCAGTAGCTGCAAAAACAATATAAACAGAAATCAGTAAAGGTCTCTGAGGTACAAGTGCATCTGAAGGATGCTCTGTAAGGCAACCCCCCCAAGAACTGCCAAAGCAGGTTTCTGTCAGAAGATGAAAGAAAGCTTCTTCTCTGGAGATGAACTGCTGTGTAGGAAAAAAAGGAAGCAAAAACATTTTTCTTCCCATCAGCTCATTTCCTTCCTAAACTAATTCCATCATTTCCTAAGCCTACCCAGCACCTTTCTATTTATTAAGTTTATCTGCAAAGAGCTTAATTCTGCTCCTTCTACAATTCACAGAGGCAGGCAATCTAAGACTATTTGCAAATAATCTGGGGAACTGCTGAGGAGGTAATAGCTAACTGTTCCTGAGGGGATGAAAAATAATAAACAAAAATTATTTAGAAATCCTATTAACAAAAGATATCAGACTATATATGAAAGCATATTAAAAGATTTCAAAGCCAAACAGGCTTTGAGGAAAAAAAACGAAAGAAAGAAAGAAAGAAAGAAAAGCAAGAAATACTTGGTATTGTTTTGCCTCCTTTGTATTAATGCACAGTCAGCCATTCATACTTCAATTGAATGTGTGTCTTATTTTCTGCCTGACCTCCATCTCATTCAGGAAGATTGTCTCCATGAAGTCTTTGCATTCTCCTGCCTTACAGCAGGATAGTTTGTATCCTACTCTGTCAGTACCTTGAGAAAAGTACCCCCTAAGGAAATCAATGAAAGAAAGGGCAACTGCTTGTATTTTGGAGCACAGGGCTTAAAATATCTCCTCCACCACTATTTGCCAATGTCATCAGTGAAGCAAGGATAACAGTAGCTTCTTCCTGCCTTGTTCAGTGTGCAGGATTGCCATTTAGGATTCAGTATCTGCAGCAGTAGGGTCTATATATGTATATGTATAAGTATGGTATATAAATTTTCATAAAGGGCAGCACTTCTTAATTACTTACATTATTTATTTTGATGTAGCTTACAGCTTTTGTTTTCAAACCAGAAATGGAAGGCTATAGTTTCTCTCAAGATAGCAGGTTTGTGTTTTTAAAAGATTTTAAATTAGTATGTATATTTACCCACTGTAGCAGAAATGCTAAATCACAGCCTGAAGCAGGAGTTGAGCACCTGGTGGAAGGCAGGGCCAACCCAGGGGAGCTCAGGTGCATGCAATATGACCAGAAAAGGTGAAACCAGGATCAACCCAGACCTCATTTAAGGGTTAGCAGTGGAAGCAAGGATTTCTTGCTGGAGATCCCTGCCTACCAGAACCCTACTGAAGGTAAGCATTTTCTTTTCTTTGTTTCTGTGCATGTGGCAATTGTATTTGAGCAAGTGCTCGTTTGTTGCAGACTAGGCTTTGCTGCTCTGCTGTCATTGCTATGTTTTTCATTGTATCACAGCATTACACCCACCTACTGTTTTCCCACTCCATTTTTCTTCTTTCCATTCCATTTATAGTAATACTGTTGGATGTGTTAGTAGTCAAGAAAATGATCAGTGCAGATACTAAAGCAATATATATTTTGCTTTTTTACCAAGCAACCTGTTTATTTTTGTAATTACTTTTAGTTGTTTTCTTCATCTATTTTCAGTTATGGTATGTTGACAAAGTATGTGGCTTGAGGACACCCATGCAGGTACTCAACAAGGCGTCTTTAATATGGGGGCAGTTGAACTGCCTGCCTGCGCTGCGACAGCTGTTGTTTGAAGGCTTCCTGGCCCACCCTTTTCTGCTGTGGGCCAGTATTTTCCATTAGATTACATTTGCTTTGAAATGCACCACAGCCCTAGCTCTCCTGTGCCGTGAAAACTGTGCTCTTGCAATTATATTGTGCAACTTAGCCTTGGAAAGCAGCCAGATAATGCAACCACAACTCTATTTGTGAACGTGATAGTGGAGGTTGAAAAGCATATTAAACCTTAGGCTTTAGACCTTTAAGCTAGTCTGTAGTTGACTCAGGTCAGAATGGAGCGAACAAGAACGTTTCTCTCATCTCGTGGCCTGTGACTTCACATCTGAGAAGTGGGCCCTGCATGTCCCATGTCCAAGCAGCCCAGAACAGCTTCCATAGCAGCTCCTGATCAGCTGGTGCTCATCCCTACAATTAATAACATTGTCAACCCTGCTGATAATGTTATTAATCACAGGGTGGCAGTGCATAAACATTTCAGCCCAGTGAGTATTTGATATTCTAATGTCCTCAGTGCTGTCCAGTCATAAATGCATCTTTCCTGCCTGAAATTCTTTCCAATAGCCCCACTGAGTATTGGATTTCTAAGTAGCATCTATATTACTGACTGCTTTTATTTATTTCAGATAGCATTTTTTGAGAGCCAGGTATTACACTCTTTCCAGGAATCAATGAGTGGCAGATGCATGCTTTTTACAGTACTTCAAGGCTAATCTGCATTACTAAGTGCTTTCCTATCATTGTAACACGAAACGGAAGGAATATATTGTACCAATCTATTGCTCAGTAAAATAAAACATGTCTCCTGGTTTCATTTATTGAAGATCAATTAATTTCATGTAATATAATAAATGTCCTGCATAAACATAGCTATAGAGCTTTTTTTTTATGAGCTGAGAGTTGTATCTCTTTCAGATGAAACTGAAGGCTCAGTGGGTCTCTAAGAAAAGGGAATTGCTACAGTGCTTGAGGACACCTTCCTTGGAAGAGTGTAATGCTGATCTTCCCTTAAGCATTGATGTTGTCTGCCTATAGACATCACTGACAATGGCACTTTGGGTACTGGTTAGTTAATATTTCTTCGTATACTTTAGATTGTGAAAAACATAGCAATATGACATGTATGTTTAAAGGCCTCAGTACAGCTTGTCATCTCAGCCCTGGCACACACCTGGATTTGGCTTTGCATAAGCGTGAGTGAGTCTGGTGAAGAGCAAATATCCGGTGTCTGTACTAACATACTCAGATCTGTCACCTGCTTAGAAACACACCTGACTGATATCTATGCCTCCAGTCACTGTTCTTAACCTGTTACATTTGGGGCATCTTAAGGAATCAGATGTATTCTGTGGAGAAAGGATGTTCTCCTGGAGAGAGATGGAAGCAGTGAGTTCAGTGTTCAGTCATCTCCAACAGGACCTTTCAACCTTGTGTCCTACTTCTTGGCTCAGGAATCACAGAATCACAGAATCGTAGGGGTTGGAAGGGACCTCC